GGGCATTATGGAAGTTTGACAGCCAAAACATGTATAGAAATAATACATTTCTTCTTCATACATTCTACTTCAATGCCCTGGTCCTGTAGAATGAGCCCTGGCATTTTTACTGTGATTGCCTGTTTTTCTGTAAAATCACAGAAAAAGAGAGCTGCTCGGGTCGAGCAGGCGGCTTCATGCGCGTTCACTCTCAGGCATAGCCCGTAGCATTTGCTATCAGTTGCTTTAGCAGCAGAGAGTGAGGTAGTGCCAACTCAGCGACTTTGTCGCTGTTCCTAATGCCTAGTGATGAACCTAGCTACATTACATACAATAGCCATTTTCGCTCCGAACAGTTTGTTGAATGTTGTTTCAGGTGTCATCAAGAATATAAATGTTACAGATACAAAAGATGTCACTGGCGCTTTAGCTCACCTAGTAAGACGTCGGACTCTTGTGTAGAAGACCCGGGTTTGATTCTGGATGTGAACATAGGTCATTTAGAGTTTCTTTTTTACATTAATGGTATATTTTTTTACAAGAAGATGCCCAAATTTTTATTTGAGACTTGCCGAACGTCATTGAATTCACAGATAAAAAAGATGTGGGTTCAACTTTCATTTTGGAACAATTTTTCAAGCAAGGGAAGGGAATGATCTGAGCATGCAGGAGGACTGACCCATCTTAAACCTTTGTCGGCTGTGCTGAAGAGAAAGGTACAGAACCAAATTATTTAATTAATCAGCTGCGCGTTCTCCTGTCCTCTGTCCCCCCCCCCCCCCCCCCCCCCCACACACACACACGCATACACACACACACGGGACTGTCTCAGTCTTTATTTTCATTAAGGAGTGTGCACGTACAGCATGCGTGTCTCATGCACGAGCCTACTATTGAAGCTGCCGTTACGATTTTGGCCTGAGGGGGTAATCACGAGCATAAAAATTCAATACTCCGTAAAGTCCCTTTAAAGTGGTCGCAGTAACCAAATTTTACCACATGATGTCATTTTTACTTCATTTCTACATAATGCACCTTTAAACTAGGTATAATGCAGTTTTTCTTACTGGTCACTGGTTTTCCAACTTCAAAGAGCAGCTTTGGTTTTTCATGACTATATTGGTCAACTGTGGGCGTTTATGAAACCTTTGGTGTCTTAAAGTCTTTAGAGTTTTTCACTACTAATAACACCTTTCCATGTAGATTGATTGATGTAATTTATTTAAGTGTCATACACCATAAAGGGTGCCCAACCCACATGAGCTTATTAGACACTACAACATTCAAAAAATCATAACATGGGTGCGTGATACAGATTAATACACAACATTGCTAAACAAACACAACTATGACCACGTATTTCTCATATGGGGTATAGAATACTTTGGCGTCTATACCAAGCCTTTTCCACAAATTTAGCTAAAACAAAAATATTATTTTCAAACAACCAATACATAATTTCAGCTTCCTGCTTCCAAAATAAATCGGGATTTTTCGACTGGATAAATTCAAATAAAGACGCTCTCAAATCACAATACAAGGAACAATGAAAGATAAAATGGAATTCATTCTCAACCACATTGGAATCACAAAACTCGCATAGACAAGAATCCCAAGGTATTCCCACTTCCACGTCCCACTTCCACTGCCAAAGGGAGGGTGCCCGTTCTTATTTTAGCACAGAGAGATCTTTGTCTTCTTGTTAACATTTGAGACATAATTCTGTATTATAATCCCTTTTAAATTGTACATAATTTCTCAATTTTGGTTTATTCCAAATATCCTTCTTCCATTGTTCCCTGTATTTTACATCCAACTCCTGTCTGACACAATTAATATCACATTTTAAGTTATTTTGAAGAATCATGCCCCTGTCTAAATTTACTAAAATAACTGAAATATCTCTAAACCATGGATGAAAATTTGTTTTATCCCAGTTACATATTTTCTTAGTTAGCCTTTCCTCCAGAAGACTAACAAGGCGGTTCCATAAACGCACCATTTCACAATTCTGTTTAACTATGCACGGAGCCCATCCTGCATCCCCCTCCACAGCGAACTTTGCTGCAAATTTATGCACACCCAGAAAGCATCTTAATGCTCAGTGTTGAACAGAATTACATTCAGATGTTTCTTTGGAACCCCAAACTCCTGCAGCATAACAGAACTGGGTCAACTAACGATTCATAAAGTTGTGTAAAAATGGAAAAACCAAGATTTGTAGAAGAATAGACTGTAATATGTTTGGCAAATGCTACTGTCACCATTCTCTCAGCTGTGTAGAGCAGCCATAATCATGGTGGAGGGCCGTGTGGATCAGCTTCTTACTAATCCCTAAAACTTTTGTACGATTGTTGTTCCAAGTGAGCTTTAGACCTACTTATAATGTTCCTTAAATTACCTCCAAACCTTAAATGTGCAGTCATAAGGATGGCCCTTCTGTGAGGTTGAGCTCAGTTTCAGGGCCAGTCGGCAGTCACAATGCCTTATCAGACCTGGAAGTTTCCTCTCAGCCACTAGGCAGACCGATGTTTTCCTTTGGTCTTTGTTTTGAGTCTCCCTGGAGATCGAGCTGGTGTTTGCTCAGATATTTTGGACTTGTAAATAAGGGAAAAAAAATAAGTGACCAAATGTGATATCTGAGTGTTTTCTTTTCCAGAGGATCGGTCAGAGCTAACCACCTGTCTGCTGTTCTGCTCACAGATGTCCTTCTGTTTCGGTTAAATTCATCTTCACTTGACATGGCTACAATGCAAAAGGCCATTTCTACAGCAGAACAAATAAATAATACACAAACCTAAAATCCTGCTGGTGTCCCTTTGGTCCACTCTGCTTGTTTCTGCCTGAAATCTTGCCCCACTCCTGAGTACCACAGTAAAACACTCACCTCAGCACTCTAGGATTTTCCCACAACTCTTCAGCCTCTTTGTTTATTCAGGTCTAAAAGCTGATGCAGTTGGGTTTTTATTAACATGAGATGACTTTCTCCAGCTGCTGCTGCACATCAGTCTCTGCTTTCTTTGAAATAAGCTTTAAAAAAGCACAACAGGATTATAATCGTGTTGCTTTAGCAAGAGGAAATGACAGCACCTTCTGCAAGTGCATCATTCTACTATTTCCTCTCAGAAGCTGATGTCTGACCTGTTCTGTTGTTAGCGTTCAGTTCTTATTGACTGTTCTCGTCCTGGACAACAAACAGAGCTTCCTTAGAGTTTCCACATCAGCACTTTTAAATGATGACACATGAAAACGGGAGCGTAAAGGCATCTGCTCTGCCTCTTTAACCTTGCTGCGTGAGCCAGAATGGAAAAATAATTGTTCCACATGACATCTGATGGTCGACTGGTTGGGTTTTTAGTATCCAGGGATAATAATACCTTCTCTGACGGCGAGTTAGCAGGTTAAATAATCATTCATTGAACTCTGTGCAGCTCATGTTAATGCCATGCTATATGTAAGCTTGTTAAAGCCACAGGAAAATTCTAGTGATGCACCGATATGGACTTTTTGGGCCGATGCCGATTTACTGAAATTATTGCTTCTAAAATCAGCAGATTTTGTATAGAATGAAAATTATTAAAGCTGAATTTACCTTATTATGTACACACACCACACACATTTATGGTTCTGAGGTGATTTCATTCACTGTTCACACGACTAAACAATCGCCCCACACCCCCTGAAACAGGCAAACAAATGGAGAAGAGATGGAAAAAATATCTGTTGTTAATATCGGCCAAGTTTTATTTATCGAACCGATACGATATGTAAAAAAATGAGTAACATCGGCCGATACCGATATCGATGCCGATATGTTGTCCATCCCTAGAAAATTCCATGCAAATGTGTTAGTTGGAAGCACCTTTTAAAGCATTATTTAAATGGGACTCAATATTTAAACATCAGATTATGATGTAATCGACCTTTCACCAGAACAAAGTCATTCACTATCTCATCCTGCGAATCTGCATCATTTGTGGCTTTTTAAACAGGTCGGCCTGCTTTCTTAACGTCGATCAGTTCGTGTTTTTTCTCTCCGGCTCCTAAGTGATGCGTGGGGAGGTGTGTGCTGATGCCTTGGTGGGGGAGGGATGTTCTGGGAGAGTTAAAACTTTTCAGTTTTCCAGCAGAGCCGATGCCTTCCTCCCCTCTGGACCTTCAGAGCAGAATGGTCTGGTCTAGCAGTGCCAGTGGAGTACCGCGCTGACTTTATGGTGCTGCTGATGCATAAAGATGTTTGGTGGTTTTCTGACTCTGTGTGCCACAGGAATGCAGTCTTATCTTAAAGCAATAAATGAGTGTGAGGAGTTGGAAAAACTGTAGCAGTTAAATCTGACAAGGGGAAGATTTGTGCTGTCAGATACTCTCTGGGTTGTGTAATTCCTGGACCAACTCCCTTCTTTAAAGATGTATTTATGTATTTTTGCTTGGAGCCTGAGGAGCGCTTACAGCCCTCCTGAACTGCAGCAGACGTCTGTCATGTGGTTTTTTCTTGCTGATAACAAGTTGAACCTGCTTTCTGTTTGTCAGTAACACAATCCCCGGAGCTCTTACAGCAAATTCCACCCTGGCACGGTACAAAACACAAAATAAAACTAAAATATAAAAACTCATATAGGCTAGTTAGCCAAACAACAGCAGGAAGCCCTCATCCACCTGACTCTAGCTGAGTGTTTCCTGCACCTTCTGCCTTATCCCGACGTGCGTTTTATGAGAAAGTAAAACTAAAGTCTCCGTATTTTCAGGGATCAGTCCGTACCTTTCACTGCCCACTGGAACATTTTCTACTCTTTCTACCTTGTTGACCCAGAAAGGTTTGGTCTGTGATCAGAGGGAGTTTTTTGTTTGATCCTTCAAGTCGATCCTTTATCTTAGGTTAAAATATGTGCCTACATTTTCTTTTACAGCATAAACCTGTTTTATTGTTCCTGTTGCCACTGTGTGTGAGAGCAAACATTCATATCCTGTTGATGACAAGATAACTGAGTGAGATCATCTTTTCTTCCATTTCTTGCTCACAGGGAAACGGCCAACATTCCCCTGATCGCTCTGGGTCTGAAGGAGACAAAAGAAATTGACTTTTCCTCTCCGTTCAAGGTACAAAAACTACCAGTTCTTCACATTCAAAAACATCCAAAGGATGCAGAAGTAGAAGTAGTTGTTCCAGGTTTAAAACTAATAAACATGTTTTTAGTTTGGCTTCAGAGTGAGTTTCTTTCTGTGAGGTGATTGGGTCACAGCGTCTGCACCCCTCTGAACTGCCTCCATCCATATGAAGTAGTTCATCTGCGAGTTTGTGAGGCGTGTTCTGTTACAGAAACCGGCCCAAAGCTGATTTAGATCTTTGGCTCATGTGCTTGTCTGTCATTTCAGTTCCTGTTGTAGAAGAGCAGAAAGTGTGTCAGTAGTTGGTGAGACTGCAGGAGTTATCGCTGCGCCGTGTCCCAGTGACTGGAAGCCCTCTCGTAAATGTCATGTTGTCTCATTTATTGCGAGCTGCTTCCTGATCTAGTTTGCTGGCAGGAACTCTTGAGGTGTTATGAGTCTGATCTTCTTACATCGGAGTCTTACCGGCCAGGCTTTACAGCGTCTGGCTGGCTCCGGAGCGGAAGCCACTTTTCTCAAACTTATCCAATAGTTTTAAGTTTGGCGTCTGTGTCAGGTTAAGGGCCCGTTTATGCTGCATTTATGTGTGGAAATGGGTACGTCAACTTCAGACGCTGGGGGCATGAGGCATAGATGGACCTTCAGAGTGAATTCATTCTCCTACAAACAACAGCAGTAAGGACGCAACTGTTGCAGCTGTTGTGTTTAGTGCAGATCTGTCTCTGGTCTTCTCAGGACTTCATCCTGGAGCACTACAGTGAAGATGGCAGAAGTTTTGAGGAGGAGCTGGCTGATCTCATGGACCTCAGACAGGTAGACGCACGCACACACACACACACACACACGCACGCACGCACGCACGCACGCACGCAACAGATTTGCGTAAACTAATGGGTTGCGTTGGTTATCCTACAAAGGTCATCTCCATCTCCTCCTCCTTCACCATTAAAGGTATTTCATTACTCCGGATTATATCTAATCCCTTCTCTTTCATATCCCAGTCATGCAGAACACCGAGCCGATCAGAGGCTGGAGTGGAGCTGCTCGCCAGCTACTACAGCCATCTTCCTCTGATAGAGAGCCGCTTCTTCTCGCCAACCCGCCAGAACGGCATCTTCTTCACCTGGTACACACCCATTAAGCAGCTGCTGCAGTCAGAATGATCAGAAAAGCTATTAAAAAGTTCATAAAACAAAGAAATAATTGAGCATAAACAACATTAATAACAAATACAGACAGTTCATCCAAACCAGTTAGTATGTTCCTCCCTCACCTTCAAGCCTGTGAGCACGAGTAGAAGAAAAAAGCTCGTTTGAGGCGGCTGCTTGCCTTCCTGCAGCCTTCTTTTTATGTAAGCGGATTAAAAGAAATTCTAATTAGAGGTGGAGAGAATAAGGGCATGCATGCATGGATTACTTTTTCAATGTCAAACCTTAACGGAATGCTGCTTTGAAAAACACTTTGATGTTTTATATTAAAGACCAAAAGTTCATAAAGTTACACACAAAACTTATCACACCGGGTTTGTGGGAGTCATCCATACTGAATCTACACATTCAAAAGTAGCTGTTTTTGATTAGAAACTTGGAAATGTGGATCAACATTAAACAGCGTGTTTTGTATTGTATTTACTTATGCCTGCATTCGCTTAGGATAACCGTGTTGTCCTTTCCATTCAGGTATGATTCCTTCACAGGAGTACCAGTGTGCCAGCAGAACCTTTTACTGGAGAAAGCCAGCATCCTCTTCAACATGGCTGCTCTGTACTCCCAGATCGGCACCCGCAGTGACCGACAGACCAGAGTGGGCTTGGAGCAGGCCATCGCTGCCTTTCAGAAAGCCGCGGGTAGGCAGAAGACCGTTTTAATTAGGGATGTGAATCTTAGAGCAACTCACGATTTGATTCCAGTCCAATTCTCGAGGTGCCGACTCGATTCAGAATCGATTCTCGATTTAAATCGATTCACAATCAATATTAACAAAGAGTGTCAGTTCCAGCGTTAGCTACTTTATTGTACAAGTTAGTTAAAGCTGAGGGAAATTTTTACTTTACCTTAAACTGGTCATGCTCAAAAATGCAAATTTACAATGTAAACTAAAGTGATTCTAAAACTATAAACAGAAACCATCTTTAGACCAAAATGCAACATTTATTTTTGCTTACCTTGTAAAATATAACAAACCTGTAGTTGCCTAACAGTAGCTTTGAAAGTAATATGGTCAAATACTTTTCAGGTATGTGTAGAAACAAGTTTAACATTTGAGTCCTCAACCTGTTTAATAAAAGTGCCTCGGGTTTCTTACAAAGGAAAATGTTTTCTCTCGTTTATCAGTAACTTCAAATGAACACATGAGTAATCCTGAGTACTCACTTATCAACTTAGAACATAAATATGAGAATATCTCACATTTCTGAGTATGGAACTGATTACATTCAAGTGCGCTCTTGTCAGCAGATTCAAAAATAAATCATCTCAATTTATGGGACCACAGAAGTAAACCGAGTACTGACTCTCCTAACAAAGACCGAAAGATACAAAGACGGACAAAAGTGCATCTCAGACCTGTAACATGCCAAACATTTGAGTTCTTGAGATCGATTCTGAATCTTAATAAATAAGAATCCCGATTCAGACTTGAATCGATTTTTTTCAGCACCTCTAGTTTTAATCCTAGAATACTGCGCAAAAATGATAAAAACACACAAATCCCGTAGTTTCCTATTGAAACGGGTGAAACTAGTCCGAATATGAAATAAGAACAAAGAAGATTTTTGACGCTGCCAGACTTTTTAACATCAGTTACCCACACATGTGCCAACACAAATAAACCAGACACATGAAAATAATCCTGCAAATGTTTTTTTTATTGTTTTATATGTATTGAACATTTACATCCACTTCTACAACACAATGGCACATTGTTCTGTAAAAGTGCATCAGCACAGTCCCACCCTGCCTCCACCCTCCATCTTCTTCCATGGTGATGAATGGAGCGGGCGACATTTCTCTGGCTTCATGTGGCTGAAGTCCACAAAAGCACCAGCAGAAGGCCAACAGTTTTCAGGAGGTTCAGACGGGTCTTGATGGAATTATGACTTGCTACCACGGTTGGCGTAGCGTGATAATTACAGCTCTGAACATGGCTTCCCTTTTGCTACTTGGTAACTATTTTTTGTCTTGTAAAGCTGTTGTAGCGTCTCAGGGAGCCTCGTCTAAGCAGTAAGCTAAATCTGGGGCTGATGACACGTATTATATTCATATTACTTTGGTTCTCATGTCGGGTTTAAATTAAGTCAACCACTACAGCTACAGATATCAAGTCTGTTGTTAAGCTGCCTACAACTTTCTGTTTCCGCTTCTTATAGTAAAAAGTAAAAGGCATGCGTTTTAGCAGGATTACAGATGCTCTTGTTGCTAACATAAGGCATGGGTAACATTTAAAAAGGGTTTATATCTTTGTTTATATTAAAACATCAACCAGAACTGATCTTCAAGGTGTGAGTAGGCTGATTTTATTTCAAACTAAAGCACATTTTAACAAAAAAAAGCTCTAATTTAGCATTTAAAAACTTGAAACATTCCCAAAGTAAGAATGTAGGAAAGGTGTAATGTTCCCACGGACCGCTGCTACACTCTGAAACCTTATTTTGACTGGTTTGTTGACAAACATCAGGTGAAGCCTGTCATCTCAAAAACTTGTTTGAGTTCGTGTTTGTGCCTCTTTCTGTTTTTTTCTCAAAGGAGTTCTTAAAATGTCTCCAAACATTGGCGAGGGTTCTCAGGTTTGTCTTGAGGTTGTTTTTAAGGTAGCCTGTCGGACTTATGGTGCATTGGATTTACCTTGGAAGTCGGAACACGGAACTGGGAATGGCGTTAACCCGAGTTAACCTCATTCTGGTTACCGTAGTCAGAGAAGTCAGGATTCTAATATGGCGACGCACACCTCCCAAGTAGCCAGTAGTTTGTCGATTCCTCTTGCTAACATAGTTTTAAGCTGTACGTTCAACATAAAAAACAAAACTTTTTGTATGTTCAGCTTAGAGTTGTAAGCACTACATGTAACTGTGGTTTTAAACACACTCTTATAAGTGTTTTGTAAAATAAACAAATTTCACCCAAAAGTTACTGTTGATGATGCGGAGAGCTGCCATTTTGGATGTCGGGGTCAGAGTTCTGAAATCCTTCCGAGTTTCCGACTCGGGGGTTGACTTTGGGGGTGTCTCATTTGAATTTTCCTACTCGGAAGTTGGAATTTCCAAGGACAAATCGAACGCACCGTTACTTTCATCGTATTCAGAATGGTTGCAGGTGCAACTGTGAACACCTCGGTTTAGAGGGGCTGGTGACCAAATTACAAGTCCACTGAGTACATTACAAATAAATTGGACATTTGTGTAAAACTGACCTTTTTTTATTTTATTTTTTTTAAAAGACCAGTTTTGACCTGTAGTGGTTTTCCTTTAGGTGTCCTAAACCTCCTCAAAGAGACTTTCACCCACATTCCCAGCTACGACATGAGTCCAGCGATGGTCAGCATGCTGATACGGCTGATGCTCGCTCAAGCTCAACAGTGTCTGTTTGAGAAGATGGCGCTGCCGGGGGTCTCAAACCAGTTCTACGCTCTGATCAGAATGGCTCAGGAGGCTGCTAAAGTAAATCACACAGATGTGCACGTCTGGTCCTCACGTGGTTTAGTTACTGTTCGCTTTCCTGTGATAAAAATACTTACCCCAACTTTATCGCTTTCGTCCTCTCAGGTCTCTGAAGTCTTTGACCAGGTCCATCAGTTCATGATCCAGACGCCAATCAAAGACAACGTCCCGTTGTTCTGGTCCACCATGTCACTAGTCAAAACCAACCACTACCGCTCCATGGCACATTACTTTGTGGCCGCAGCCCTGCTGGATCATGAGCGTAAGACAAAGTTCTTTCTTTACCCAAGATTCCTCTAATCTTCATCTGTAGAAGGCTAATGTTGGAAACATCTTCACACCAAATATTTTCCTCGTATTTCCCTGATGATGTCCGCGTTGACTGAAGCAAATCCAGCTTCCACAATATTACACAACTAAACACACACACACACACACACACACACACACACACACACACACACACACACACACACACACACACGGTTTGCAACAAATCATAAAATAACTAAAAGATGATTTGATTGTAACAGAATTGGAAATCTTGGAGCTGTTCACATAAACTGGTATTTAACAGCCCAGCGAGAGTACAGAGGCTTTGTGTGTGTTATTATTATATAATCTTTTACTGGTTTTGTATCAGCAGATTTATAAATCTGGTGTGTGTAGATGTCATTTTGTATTCCTTGGATCAAAAGGATTCCTGTTAGTTTCCCTTCAGAGGTTGTTCTCTTGGAGACGGTGTAGTTTTCTACATTTACAGGAGGTTAACTAGAAAATAAGATTCAAGTGGAGTTTATAAAAGCCTGTGGAGCTGCAGGACAGCGCTGGTTGGTATAATGGGACGGGGCTGAATAGGGAGACATCAGAGCTAAGCGGCTTTGAGTTTGGCAGCTCATTAACAGATTCCTGTGCGGACGAGGAAAATGAAGCAATTAACCACAGAGCTGCAGAGAGCAGGGAGTGGATTCAAGTAAACAGAGCCGAAAGGAGCTGGCTGTAGTAAACAGATCAAACACAAACACCGGCCTGTGCTGCTGCTAGCCAACACTCAGGGACAGCATAACATAGCTAAACTTTTGAGTCTGGTAGATTCAGAGATGCTAAAAACTGTTCATAAGAAAGTTCCTGCAGCACTGGAAATCATTTGGGCTTACTCACTGAAACATTTTAAAATATATTTTTAAATCCAGGCAAATTCAGACCCAATAAACATCCCAAAAACTTCATTTTCTGCAACATTCAAACTGTCTGATAAATTATTCTAGCTGTCAGCCACTCAGGAAACAAGATTAAGACTTGTGTTTTCAGACAATGATTTACCCCCAAGTTACAACAGGAGTGTCGGATAGAAACGGTTATCTAGAATCAGGAGTGACTCTGAACCTTCAGGTCGAGTTTCAGTCACAGATTCTGTGTGTTCAGTGGGTCCCAGAGACGATGAGGACCAGCAGGAGAAGATGTTATCACAGGTGTATGATCAGCTCCCCGAGGGTCGCACCCCCATCGACATCCTGAAGAACAAAGATGAGCGCAAACGCTTTGGTAAGATAGCACCGTAGGGAAGTGAAGCACAGGAGACACAAGCTGTCTGTCTGTCTCTCTCTCTCTCCCTGTCTGTCTGTCTGTCTGTCTGTCTGTCTCTCTCTCTCTCTGTCTCTCTCTCTCTGTCTCTCTCTCTCTCTGTCTCTCTCTCTCTCTCTCTCTCTCTCTCTCTCTCTCTCTCTCTCTCTGTGTCTGTTTCTCGTTCTCTCTGTCTCTGTGTCTGTTTCTCGTTCTCTCTGTCCTCTCTCTCTCTGTTTCTCGTTCTCTCTCTGTCTCTGTGTCTGTTTCTCGTTCTCTCTCTCTCTCTCTCTCTCTCTGTGTCTGTTTCTCGTTCTCTCTCTCTCTCTCTCTCTCTCTCTCTCTCTGTTTCTCGTTCTCTCTCTCTCTCTCTCTCTCTCTCTCTCTCTCTCTCTCTCTCTCTGTGTCTGTTTCTCGTTCTCTCTCTCTCTCTCTGTGTCTGTTTCTCGTTCTCTCTCTCTCTCTCTCTCTCTCTCTCTCTCTCTCTCTCTGTGTCTGTTTCTCGTTCTCTCTCTCTCTCTCTCTCTCTCTCTGTGTCTGTTTCTCGTTCTCTCTCTCTCTCTCTCTCTCTCTCTCTGTGTCTGTTTCTCGTTCTCTCTCTCTCTCTCTCTCTCTCTCTGTGTCTGTTTCTCGTTCTCTCTCTCTCTCTCTCTCTCTCTCTGTGTCTGTTTCTCGTTCTCTCTCTCTCTCTCTCTCTCTCTCTCTCTCTCTCTCTCTCTCTCTCTGTGTCTGTTTCTCGTTCTCTCTCTCTCTCTCTCTCTCTCTCTCTCGTGTCTGTTTCTCGTTCTCTCTCTCTCTCTCTGTGTCTGTTTCTCGTTCTCTCTCTCTCTCTCTCTCTCTCTCTCTCTCTCTCTGTGTCTGTTTCTCGTTCTCTCTCTCTCTCTCTCTCTGTGTCTGTTTCTCGTTCTCTCTCTGTCTCTGTCCTCTCTCTCTCTCTCTCTCTCTCTCTCTCTCTCTCTGTGTCTGTTTCTCGTTCTCTCTCTCTCTCTCTCTCTCTGTGTCTGTTTCTCGTTCTCTCTCTGTCTCTGTCTCTCTCTCTCTCTCTCTCTCTCTCTCTCTCTCTCTCTGTTTCTCGTTCTCTCTCTCTCTCTCTCTCTGTGTCTGTTTCTCGTTCTCTCTCTCTCTCTCTCTCTCTGTGTCTGTTTCTCGTTCTCTCTCTCTCTCTCTCTCTCTCTCTCTCTCTCTCTCTCTGTTTCTCGTTCTCTCTCTCTCTCTCTCTCTGTTTCTCGTTCTCTCTCTCTCTCTCTCTCTGTGTCTGTTTCTCGTTCTCTCTCTGTCTCTCTCTCTCTCTCTGTGTCTGTTTCTCGTTCTCTCTCTCTCTCTCTCTCTCTCTCTCTCTCTCTCTCTCTCTCTCTCTCTCTCTCTCTCTCTCTCTCTCTCTCTCTCTCTCTCTGTGTCTGTTTCTCGTTCTCTCTCTCTCTCTCTCTCTCTCTGTGTCTGTTTCTCGTTCTCTCTCTGTCTCTGTCTCTCTCTCTTCTTTAGAGCGGTGTGGGGGATCGGGCAGGTGCTCTGTCTGCTGCATGGACAGGGCTCCCTAAAGCTTGGTTTATGCTTGACGCATTCACTTTCCGCGCGGTGATGCGGCTCGCGGATGGAACGCGCTTCACAACTTGCAGCGTTTATGGCAGTGGCGGTTCCACATGGAATTACTCCCCGGGCGAGGCCCCCTTTGAGCGCCCCCCCCCCCCCCCCCCAACCGCCCCCACCACCACCACCACACCACCCCACCTGCACGAACACACACGTTTTCTACAAACAGGCATGTTTTATTAGAACGACTGTTGAACATTCATTTTTCTAAGTTGCACATATTTACATTAATTACTATGAAGTTGTCAGAATGTACAGCAATATACATTATACACTGTATCAAAATATATAGAATCAAATATACAAAAACAACTAAACTAACTAAATATTAAGAATATATGAACATAATAGATGATAAATATTCTAAATAGCAAAAATATTTCACACATAACAAACTAAAGATAATCACTACAGCATTGCACTTAGAACAGAAAACACAAACTAAAATTAAAACCTAACCTTGATGCAAAGTCATCAATAATGTCATCATATGAAATCTGCTCCCCTACTGAGTGATTGATACTAATCAGAGCCAGGTTAGTGAGCCGCCCCTGAAACATAGTTGACCTCAGGTATGACTTGATCAAGTTTTGAAAAGCTCCTCTCAGCTTGAGCCACAGTGACTGGCAGAGCAGTCCAAAAGTTGGGGTAGATCTCCAATAGATCTCATGATCCAAAATATTTTAGAATTGCCTCTGAAATTGTAATTTAAACTGACATTAAAAACTGTAGACTACCAAAAATGCCAACTTTTACAGAACAAATCATGTAAAAAATAATCAGTGCAGCCATCTGCAATAAATAAACAGGATAGTTAGAGGTGACTGGGGAGTTTTCTTCTGCTTGTAGAGTTGTTTTATTTATTATTATGTGAACATGATCAACATGTGTTTGTTGTTGTTCAGGCAGGCCACAGGCTGCAGCGAGCATTTAACAAATCCTAGTTTGAATCAGTAAAAAACGATTCAAGGACTTTTTTCGAACCATTTGGATATTCGTTTCAGTATTTCAGCCCTATTAGCTCTGTTAGCAATTAAGTGACCGCATTTAACCGTTAAAATCCCAGTTAACTGGTTCAAAAAATTGAAAACATGCATCATGAGACCGTACATACCTTTATCTTTCTGCTCTTTTTTCTTTTTTTTTCTGAATCGGGCACCTGGTGGTTTTAGCCTTTTTATGTTCATCTCCTCTGTTTGGCTCTTGACTCAATAAGTTTCCTTTAGTCAGGACTAAACAATTTGACCTTGATGGGGGGGTGACCACAAAATCGTTTTGTTTTTCCTTTATTCGGCCATTTCACACAATTCAGAAACACCTGAAAGAACGATAGGCCTGTGTTTATGTTATTATGAATGAAATATGGAAGAACATCAAGATGTGATTGACTTTAGCCATGTTGATACAGTTGATTCAGCCCCTACCCGCTCATTTCATTTGGACCCACCCAGAGGTGAATTCCCCCGCCGCACCCCTCCCCTTCCTGTTCTTCATACACACACGGTGCACGGAGCGCCTGCAGCTGCAGGGGGCGCCAACTTGCTGTTTCCAATCCAGACACTGTCATATGACAGATAATAGAAAACCTCGGTGCGGCGCAGGTTTCTTTTTTTTTTTTTTTACTCAGCGCCTGTGCGCCCCTTTTGTGTCATGAAAAAATGCCGCCCCGGGCAACTGCCCTGTCTGCCCGTGCCTAAAACCGCTACTGGTTTATGGTTTGTTTGGCTCGTCTCTGTGGTGAGCCAATATTCTCCCAAACTGAACGGGGCAGCATGGAGCTCTACAGCATGCACCCAACACTACACCATAGTAGAAGTAAAAACTGTTGTTTACAACATGGCATTTCAGCATTTTTAACAGCGTCCTCGTCTTTTCCGACAGTGCGAGCTATTTCTCTCCTAGAATTATTAACAACATGTTGATCACGGTGATCTTTGAGAGCTGAATCACACAAATGTCTGTATTTACGAACCTCTGCCGTACTAGTTCTTGCCGGTCCGCCATGTTTTTCCGCATCCGACCGTCCGCGTGGTTAGAAATTTTCCGAGGTGCGTGTTGCGGAAATCTTGAGCCGTGCGGAGACGCGGTGGAGGGGCGTGGTTGTTAAAATGACACAAAATGACGCAACTTTTCCGCGCGGAGCCGTGCGGACCTCGCGGACGCGTCAAGCATAAACCAACCTTAAGGATCAACTTCTAAACTGGGTTTATCAGTTTCCCCTGGTTTTATTAGTGGAAAACAAGTTACAGTCATTAACGCTGATTGTTGATTTGTAAAGAAAAATAAATAATTTAAAAGTCAAGTCTCCCCCCCCCCCCCAATTTACTTTGATCCTTTCCTTCTCACATCCTTCACATGTGTGCTGAATGGTCTTTTTTTCCAGGTAAAGCTCACATCCGCCGTGCTGTCTCTGGTCACGAGGAGGCTCTGAGGATTTATAGTCTGTGTGAACACTTAACCAAGCTGGAGGCCCTGAAAGACATTTTAAAAGCCAGCCATCAGCGCTCGCTCGAAAAGTACAGCGACTTTGAAAACGAGGAAGAGTTCACGGACTACGTAGATGCCCCAGACATCACCTGTAAGTCTTGTGTGTTTGCTTACAAAAGCTGATTACCATGACACCAAACGTTGGGTTTTGTTTACGTTGTTGGTGGCTGCTGTAGTCTCGTGAACTTGTCACCACAGCCAAGCCAGCAGGCAAACATTGTGTTGCTTTGGTAAGTTTGTCTCACAGGAAACGGCTGATGAAAGCTCCTGAGCCGTGACCTGCATGAGCCGTGATAAACGACATATTTCCATCCGTTTACTCTGTTCACTCTCAGCTCACCTCGCTCCACAGGTGAAATGTGGCTGTGACACTTAACAGTGACAGCTCTGTTTTGTTTCTCCTCCTTTTCGTTTCTCAGCTAAAACTGAACACAGAGCAGAAATGGAAGTTCCTGCTGCAACAAAGGTGAAAGTCATCGACTTTTTCCAGAGGCTGGTATGTGGGTACTAATATCCCTCTGCTCACGTTGCTGATTGTTTTCTCATGCGATGGTTGGTTTATTCATTAAGTGATAAGAAATGGCAGCATTAATGGTGTGGTTGTAGGTCAACGTCAAACGAAAGTCATCGGTCACTTCTGAATACAACCAACCAGGGTGAGCCTCCTGGAAGCTTTGGCACGTTCAGTTCAGAGCACAAAGTCCTGACAATCGAAGCTTCCGGACTTTCACCCAAAGCTAACTAACCGTGGACAGAGGTGTGCAGAAACAGCTCTCAGCTAGAAGTAGGTTGGACTGGAGCTCCTGCTGAGGGACAGTGATCTGGACTGGTGTTTTGAACTGTGCGGGCGTTTGTGGCTAACGTTGCAGACATTCATCACCAGTAGACTCTGAGCTCATCACCTGGAAAGTTGTTGGTTCGCTTTGGGGCCCTGTCTTCTTAATGCATGGAGGACCGTTACTGTGGTAAGAAGGAGAGATACTGGGAACATTTGTTCACACCAGTATCTCACTGGGCCGTGGCTGTTTCCACAAGCTGGAGACGCTAATAGCTTAACAACATGGTCTGAGGTAAACTTTTCTGACCAGTTAAAGGCCGGCTAAGGAGCACAAACACTTGTGTCATCTGCCAACCCCTCCCAAGGTTTCATCACATCTCCTTTCAGGTGTTTGTTTAGGCTTCTCTCTTTGGCCACACAGTTCAGTTTTTGTGGAAACCAAATCATGAAGGCTGTCAGGTCCTGCAATGACTCGGTTACCATTTTGAGAATTTGTGCAACATCAGAGCAAGTCCCTGTGACTCGCACAAGGAATCTGAGAAACTGCAATCGTTTCAAGACCTTTTTTGAAGCTCCTTCCGAAGTGTTGTTTGCAGTTTATCCACCCTAAGTCACAGCCCAGTGAGAGACTGGCTGAACGTTCTCCTTTTGAAGACCTTCGCTTACACGTCTTCTGTTAAGCTGGCTTACGTTTAATCTAGCAAAAACGTTTCAGGGAGTTACACCTGTGAGATTAGGAAACTCGGGTTCCTGTCATGAAATCCCAAACAATTATCTGTTATCCAGCAACAAGACAGAAATTGTCAAGAAATAAAGAAAAGTGTTAGCTTATTATTAGTTCACCTCTATGTCCTGACAGTTGTAACAAATTTAACCAGAACACACCAGAATCATACCGAGAGCTTTAGGGTCAGGATTCAGTGGGAAGCAGTCTGAAACAAAATCAGTTTCAAACACAAACACAACACTGTCTTTATGAAACACGTCCTTAAAACCAAACCAGAATTAGTTTTACTCCAGAGACCAACTAAACCCACATGTTGTCTCCACTGTGTGTCCACTTAGGGCCCTCTGGCAATCTTCTCTGCCAAACAGAAGTGGACACCACCACGGTCCGTACGAATCTATCCAGAGGACAGAGACGAGGGCTTTACTCTGAAAGGAGAGTCTCCTGTCCAGGTGGTCTCACTGGATCCCCACTGTCAGGCTGCAGTGAGTAGAAGTGTACATGTTTTCTTTTTACGCTGACCTCTCTGTGGGGAGGTGAGATGCAAAACTTACCAAACCCATAATAGAACCAGCCCAGAGTGGGACAGTCAGCAGCAAAACAGTGAGTCAGTGTCCAACAACTGAACATGATGTCATCTTCACCCCCTCTCCACACCGACTGCTTAACGGAGTTAGGAGTCAGGCGTATTTATGCTCTACAATCCCTCTGAGCCCGAGAGCTCATTAAGGTGTGCCAACAAAGAGCAGACGTACAGAACATGCAGAGAAACAGGCTGTTGAAGGCCAACAGGGCCAGACTTTTTATAACAAGGTTGTTATTTAGACGACTCTGAATTTTTCCCAGAGATTCTCGACCCACTCAGGTAAATATAGGTCAGGGTGATAGTTGGAATCCTGCCTGTAAATAAAGATGCCCACAGAGACCGCGTTTGTGCTCAACACTAGAACTCCCAGGAACCACCAGTTTGACGGCTGTAATTTTGGCCATTAAATGCAGGATGACGATGACGTAGAGCAAAACGGGTCAAGTGCGTTATTATTAATAATAATAATAATAATACTACATCAAACTTATTTAGCGCTTGTTTAGGACACTCAAAGACACTTTCACACTCTCACATTCACACACTGCCAGTGATGGTAAGCTACTTTGTAGCCACAGCCGCCCTGGGGTCTGCCATTTGGTACCGTCGGCCCCTCTGACCACCACCAACACAGGCAAGTTGTGTGAAGTGTCTTGCCCAAGGACACAACAGCAGAATACCCCTGGAGGGAGCTGGAATCGAACCCATGCCCCTCCGATCATGAGGCAACCCGCTCTACCACCTGAGCTACTGCTGCCCCATCCATAATTAACTCTTTATGGGTGTATGAACCTAATAATATGGTACGAAAATATAATTTTAATCCAAACCTTGAAAAGAAGTCTCTCTATTGGGTGACCGACACGGATCCTTTCCGTGGGTGGGGCGAGGGGTCTGTTTTAGCAGCTATTTCACACAGAGTTTGAATGGAGAGTGAGCACACGGAGCTGGACAGTTGGTTGCTTAGCAACGGCGAAGCTGTCCGTTATCCGCAAAACTTTACCATGTAAACTATAGAGTCGTCGAATTGACGGCTTGTGGGAGACAAAGACAAAAACAGCTATATTTCTTTTTTGATACATTATTTTATGGAAATTATAAAGCAAAAATAAAGGACGCATAAAAATAGGAAAAGCCAGGAAGCCAGGACAACATGAGATCATCTAACTAAAGTTATTACATATCAGAATATGAAAACGGTCAAAATGACTGCCTTGGGAGTTCTAGTGTTAAGGACGGTTCAGAGCTAAACCTTGCTCGTGTCTTAGCTTTTCTGATGTTTTGCTCTAACGCTCGTTCTCCCTCGTGTCTGTTTAAGGGTGATGGCCTGAAAGAGGGAGACTATATTGTCGCTGTGGGTAAAACAGACAGCAAATGGATGGGAGTTAGTGAGGTGATGCAACTTCTGAAGGATGTGGATGAAGAAGGGACTGAAATCCAGGTGGTCAGCCTGATGGACAGCAACCCTTCAATGGTAGGTCCTGCACATTTCCTGTCCTCAGTGGTATTATGAATGGAAGTCTTTGTGAATCCAAAGATATGATTCAGACAACAGGAAATTCATTCGTGACTGACTTGTTTTATTAAACATGAGCGGTTTGCTTCTCCAACTTTCTCTGTTGAACTTTTATTCCCAGCAGTTTCCTTTTGGAGCTCAGATCTTGAACCCCTGATGTTTTTAGCTTTCCACAACAGTTCAGCTGTTGATGTTATTTCTTTGTCAGTGGTTGATACCAACATATGTAGAGCTCCACCAGTGGTGTGTGTACCACTGTCGGAGAACCACAAGTCTATAATGCTAACCCGGTATACCTCCAACACACTGTCTGGCTAAGTTTTGGTGTATGGGGTTCTACATTAAAGCACAACAACACCATTTATTTTTTATTTTTATAGAGAAACTGATAAAACATGTTTGTCTCCTTCTAGCCTGCAAAGAGTGCCACCTTCTGTGGAAACCTGCCTAAGACCTACTCCATGATTTGCCTGGCGTATAATGATGAAGAGAAGCCTCTAAAAAACCGCAAAGTAACCAAGAAGTCCTCATTCCTCAGCTGGGGCATGAAGAACAAGATGAAGAGTGCCAGCATGTTAAACCTGCCTACGATGGATCATTCTGGTGCTATGTCCTGGAACAAACCCATTCCCACCTTTCCCAGCTCCAGCTGCTACAACAGCGACAGTAGCCACTAGGGAAGGGACTGCAGACCTGCAGAGTAATGTTGGTGTAGATGATGGACTTGCTGTTCTGGTGCCTGCTGGTGTAGAATAATGGCAAATACTGTATGTAGCTTGTATGTCAATTACTAGAAGCAAAACCACTGGGCCAACACACACACACACACACGAGTGCCTTTGCTATTACATGGGTACCATCCCAGGGCAGCTGTGTTTCCGAAGACATCTGGATTGAACACCAGGCAAGAAACGGCTGAAACGGGATTCTTTGTCACACCAGCATGGCTGCGGCCCAGTACAGCTGCAGCGTGAGGACAAACACACCAGATATCCTTATCCACTGAGATTAACTCTCAGCTTTTGTTTGTAGCAGAAACACTCCTGACCATCCTAGAGAGGGAAGCAAAGTGCTGCTGTCTGCCTGGCTGTAGCAGTGAGAGGTCCTTCGTTAGCCCCGTCGTGTTACTGTGGCTCTCTGTGTCTGATCTCTAACGTTCAAGTGAAGGATTCTCCACATGTGCTGCTGGACTCGAAAAGCCATGTATTTACTAAACAGATCTGTACTTCTGACAGATATTTGAAGCAGTGATTGAGGGAAAACTAAATGTGCTGTGATTTTTTGTTTGTGTCTAGGAAGAGTTTTAGAATGCAATATCCCACAAGCTGCTAAATCGTTGATGTATACGTTGGTTGTGTGTTGCTGTTTTGCGTGTGTGAGGCAGTGTCATCGGGATGCCGTGTCTGGGACATGCAGGGAATGGGAATATTTTTTTTTTTATCTTGCCAGCGCGACTCCATTCCTGATCAGATTTCTGTTACTTGCTGTCTGTTTGGAGGAGCGGCAGCTGTGCGTTTTTATCAATGTGCATCATGATGAAGTAAAACCTAATTATTTATACTAGAAGGGACAAATGTGAATACATTGATGACCTTCATGCTTTTCACTCGGACAGTCGGCGGTGACTGTGATCAAAACCAGCTCTGTCTCAACTAATCTCACATTTTACTGACATTTCATGGTGTTGGACTATCATTATCTACAAAGTAGATTCTTATTCATTTGATAATCAAATTATTTATGTAATTATTAACACAAAAATGGATATACTGAAGCTGTAGGTGTAGTGTAAATGTTACATGGTGGATTTCTTGGTCTCTTGCAGGATCATGTTGGTAAGCTGAGTGTTGTCGTCATAAAATGTTTTAAACCTGTAAATGGTTTTAATAACACTGAGAAAATGTAAGATTCAGTTTTGTCTGCTTACCCAGTGTGTCTTTTTTGTGCCATTTAAGCTAAATCTTTACAGTCTCAAGCCGTTTCCTCCACAATGTGCTGAGTGTGTGTAGCTGTGCAGAGTACACACACACGTGCATTTTCTTTACGCCACGGTGCCTAGTGATTCTAAAGGCCTTGGATGAGGGTCATGGTTCCTTTTGGTTTTCAGGCTGGCTTGCTCCATTTCCTGCACTTTATTTGGCATAGCTGCTCATTGTTAAACATTTGTCTGATATGTACACTTCAATAAAAGAATAAAGAAAAGGGGCTTGATGAATCTTCTTAAATATTTGTCTGTTTCTTTTTTCTGTCAGAGCTTAAAAATGCCAAGCTGGTTGGAAATGTGTGGAATGAGGTTTGAGTTCACCGAACCAACGTGTCCGAGTCAACTCAAGACATTTTAATCCGTCTTGTCACACACTGAAAAAGTAACGCGTGATTAAATGTTGCTCGTTTGGCCTTAAACTTTATTGTTCAATATTTTAGAGCCATGTGAAAAAGCTGGCGGTGTGTTCAGAACATCAGGTATTAGAAATATTTTCCTTTCAAACTCCAATTCCAATAAATACATGTTAACTTTCAGTAATCGATTTATTCTGTAAAAACAGCACCCTCATGAAAACCAGTCAGACGTTCACAGCAGCGGCCTGCTTGAGGACCCTTTAGGGATCCTGATGATGGGTGAAGGACCTGCGAGGACCCTGGCCATCTCTGGAGTAACCGCCTGTCTCCTGGAATCTCCTCCATGCTCTTTAGCAAACCTGTCAACAGGTTATATTCATGTACCATCTTTGTGGAGTAGGTCTGTCTCCTCTGGGGTCCAAGAAATCATGGAAGCTATAAGCCTACAGATTTTGACCTCAGCGCAGCTTTCGATAATGTTGACCATAACATCCTTCTGGACAGACTCAAACTGGGTGGAACTATCAGGCACAGTGCTTGGCTGGTTCCAGTTCTATCTCAAAGATGGGGGCTATGTTATCTCTATTAAGGATTACCAATCAAAGTTGGTCACCATGACATGTGACATGTGGGGCCCCCCAAGGCTCAATTCTAGGACAACTACTCTTTAATCTCTATATGCTCCCCCAGGGTCAGGTCATACTTAATATTATTGCCTTTCATAGCTATGCTGATGACTCCCACAAGAAATCAAACCGTCCACATCGCTGTCCACTTTTTAAAGCAAGGCTGTATTTTAGATCTGTTTTTTGTTTTTATTCACATTTTAATGTTTTTTATAACTATTTTCATTGTTTTTACTCTTTTTTTATATATTTTTTTAATATTTTTATCTGTTTTTTATTTTAGAGCAGTTTTATTGTGCTACTTCTTTGCACTATGTTCAGCACCTTGGGCCCCCTTGAATGGGGGTGGGAAGGGGCTTTATAAATAAAATGATTGATTGATTTCTAATGGGCAGGACTATTGCAATGGCCTCCTAACTGGTCCTCCCAGAAAGCTGTGAAGCAACTGCAACTTGTTCAGAATGCTGCTGTCTTAACAAGAACTAAGAGAACGGAGCACATCACTCCTGTTCTTAGATCTGTCATGTTCTGCGGGTGGAGATGGCAGACCATGTGTGGTGGTGGGTTTCAGGAGGCAGAAGATCAGGCAGACGGATGAAAAATAAAAAGATGTTTAATCGTAGACTGGGAGCAACAGGACGAACAAACATGCACAAACGACAATGAACCGACAAAGACAGCAACAAGGAGGGAGGTATAAATACACAAGGGAATCAGGAACACCTGGGCAGAGTAATCAGGGACAGGTGAGAACAATAAGGCTAATCAGGGCAGGAGAGACACAGTCAGGGAGGCCGGGGCGGATCATGACAAGATCTCTACACTGGTTACCAGTAAACTACAGAATAGATTTCAAAGTGCTTCTACTTTATAAATCACTCAATGGCATGGCGCTAAAATACATGTCAGATCTAATTTCTGTATATACACCTAGGACTCTGAGATGATATCCTTAGGAAACAATCAGCTGGCGGTACCACGGGTCAGAACCAAACATGGTGGAGATGCATTTAGTTACTATGCTGCTCACATATGGAATCAGTTTCCCTTTGACCTCAGATGTGTTCCAACCCTCGTGTTGTTCAAAACAAAAATAAAACCCTAATGTACTCATCAGCCTTTAAATGAACATGCTGCGTCATCTCCACTGTCACTGTAACTTTGTCTTCCTTTAGCTTTAAACTGTAATTCTATCCATGTGTATTTGAATTTGTGTTTTTATGTTGTTTTCATATGTCCTGATAATTGTAAAGCGCATTGAACTGCCTCTGTGTTTGTGCTCTATAAATAAAGCTGCCTTGCCTATTTTTAAACTGCAGTCCCCAGACAAGTTGGGTAATAATAATATTTTGTCGTGTATTACATGCCCGTCTGGTGACACTTTAAGCAACTCGTGGACGTGGCCACGAGATGCTTATTTCGACAGTCTATGGTTAAAATACATGTTCTGAGTCCTGCTTAGTCGCCTCCTATTGGACAAACAGTTGCGTTGAACAAACGTCGTTGCTAAGGAGAGTAAAACGACTTATGATTGGTTGGATTTTAGAAGCCAACCAATCAGAAATACTCTTGGACTCATGTAGCTTGTCATGATGATGCGTATGGATACAAGCCACCCACCCGCAGTGACCAGTTTGATTTAGTTAGCGTGCCTATCTTCAGCGATGTTTAGTGAATAAGAGTAATAATGACAGACGTAAAAGTAATAGGAAACCATTTGGGCGTTCTCGATGCAATTTGATAAAATAATGGTCGGTAAAGTCGATCCGTGGGACGAAAACTTACATCAACTTCGCCAAGCTAGGAGTAAAGTGAGACGGTTTTAAAATGTTAAAATTCAACTTCAGACGGGAGAAAGACGAGGAATTTGTGAGTTCTGAGTTAATGAATCCTCCAAATTATTGCTTGCGTAGAACCATTTTCTGCATTTAGTTAGCTGTCCTGTCCCTAGTTAGTGTCGTTGCAGGTAATTATTAACTGGTGGGTTTAAGCTAACGTGCTTAACTTTGTAGTTTTAAACTAACAGACTTAGTAAAATTGACTTGAGCTAGAGTAACTAATGGCTGTTTAGGATAACAAGTCAGTTTGATGACGTATTTACTTATTTACATTTTAATCAATTTCCCTCAGGGATTAATAAAGTATTTTTGAATTGAATTTGAATCGAATTGAACAGACAGCTGTGTTGTTTTAATTTCTGATGGACATCCCTCCACCTCTTTCTGTGTGTTGTGTAGAAGCATATAGCTCCTGGCATGATGCCTGCTGCCTCCATCGCCCCTAAAGCGGTTGTGCCTCGTACTCCTCCCCCCCAAAGACCACACCCTTTACCCAACAATGTCAGGTACCCAGCAGCACACCATCCCCTCCAGCACCATTTTATGTGACTGTTTACTCGCATTTTGTCTTTTTAAAAGCACAGTTATTATCTTTTGTAGTAGAGAAAGCCATGTCTTACCTGTAGTAGATCGTTCAATAAACAACCTCAGTTTGGAGAAATAGATTTTTGTCTGGTCCAGACGGCTGATCTAGTGGCTCTGATGTTTGGGGCTAGTTCTAAAGTGTTTTTGTTGTCTTAAAACAACTATGGTAAATGTTAAATGGCCTGTATTTGATATAGTGCCTTCTAGAGTCCTGGGACCCCCCAAGGCTCTTTACAACACAATCAGTCATTCACCCATTCACACACATTCACACGGTGGTGGGGATGAGCTACAATGTAGCCGCAGCTGCCCTGGGGTGCACTGACAGGGGCGAGGCTGCCAAGCACAGGTGCCACCAGCAGGCAAGAGGTGTTAAGTGTCTTGCCCAAGGACACAACGACAGCGACAAACTGAGCGGGGCTCGAATCTGCAACCTTCCGATTACGGGGCAAGCACTTAACTCCTATGCCACCCTCGCCCCTATACTGTAGTAAAAAACACCTCCTGAGAACATTACTTTGTACATTTTTACATCACAATAAATACCAGATGACACGATTATTTACACAGAATTATGTGGTACTATAGCAGCAGAAATAAGCTTCTTGCTGGAATTGTAATAATTAACCAAGAAAAGCATGAAATGGGGACATTATGACATAATATAATATTAGTTGGTCGTTAACCTCAAAAAGCCGTTCAAAAGACTGGCTCCTTTGAACGAAGCAAAACCATGAGAGTGTGTGTGGGGGTTGTTAAGAGCAACGTGTTCCTCCGGTGGGCGCACGGTGGTTGGGTAGCGTTCCGCCAACGTCAGTCACAGCAGTGGGTGGGGGTTGAGCGGGTGTGCTTTGCCGACTTTCGGGGAGGTTCGTCACCAGAATACATGATTAACGACTCTCTACAGGGACTCTGCTCTCGTCGTTCACTTTAAAAACCTGTTCAAAAGATTCGATTCATCCGTAAATGTCACATCACTATTACAAATACAGGGTTTTTCCTGGCTCAAATTGAGGCAGAGGTGGTACCATCCTGACCATGCGCCAGCACATATATACTCTGTGCATTCGACGGCCTCACTTTTTTTAAGGCAAAATATTTTTTCGTTAAGTGTTCTAATCTAAGCTTCTGTTGATTCGTTGAATATTCCATTTGCCAGCGTTTCAAGTGAAACAAGACAGGTTTGCTGCTAAAAAATATGAAATAAAACAAAACGATAATTTATGTTACGTCCGACAGGAGATGTTAAAATGCGAAGGAGGGGGTAACATAAGAAATACGACAGTGGAGTTAAAATGGTTTTAACTGTTGTAAAAGGTTCTAAAAACAAGAGCAAACAGATGGTGATCATTATAAAGAATGCAAAACAAAAACAAAAAAACTCAAAAAGGTTAACATTACACCAATTACCAACTATAAAAACACCTGGTAAAAACTTACTGTAAAAGTTTTACCAACACAGAAGGTCTTTAAAACCGGAGTCAATAAAATTTCATCAAACCAAGTTAACCTTTTTAACCAACAACATCAAAAGATCCCTCTGGATCCTCTTAAGAGCTTCTCCCTTTAAAAGCTCATAACTCAGAGTTAAAACCTTAAAGTTAACTGATCTCAAACAAAGGGGTTGAACCCAAACTGAGGCCTGTAGGACAGCAGGACCCCTGCACTGCTGCCTCCCAGACTGCTGAAGGCACAGCGTTTTTATCCCAGGCGTGGGTCATCAACAGGATTCAGCTCAGCTGTGCTCCTCAGCAGCCTGGAAGAGAGGAGGAGGAGGGGCGGTGTCAGGCTGATCACCAGGGCTGGGTGATCCTGGCTCCTGCATCCCACTGGCCAGGCTGGCAGCCGTAACACCCCCACACATAAAAGAAAAAGGATAAAAGTTAGTAAAAGCACACAATACCAACTTTTTTAACCTTTTCATTAAAAGCAAGAGAGCCCCCGATAAAAACAAAACCCTAGTCTTCATGCGCGTCGCAGGCGGGCAAATTAAGCACATGTGCATATGCACATCCAAACCAGCAAAGAGAGGGGGGGGTTATCCCCTGCTCTTCCTGGGGTGCTCCACCTACTTGATCTGTTCTGTTTGTTGTTTCGTCTGTTGTTTATCTCGTCTGCTCCTATCATTCCGTGTTGCTTCCCCATGAGTTTCCTTGTTGAGCCGAGAAGGTGAAAAGATCACCAACAACAGAGTTCCGAAGTCCACTAGATTTTCTAGGGTTTTTGACATGTTTCTGTTTGTTTTTGTCCGAACACAATGTTTTAAAATACTGAACCTTCTCCTTATAGGCTGTCTCACTGTTAGTTATCATCCCTGCTATGTCAGCAAGCTTTTACACTGGTGTTGTTGGTGTTGGTGTTGTTGTTGGGAGAGGTGAAGAGGGAGTAGAGCAGGGGGCTGAGGACACACCCCTGTGGTGTGCCGATGCTCAGGATGAGAGTGGGTGATGCGTGAGCCCCAATCCCAACATTCTGTAGTTTCTGTAGTTTAGAAATTCAAACAGCAGTAATTTTATCACTTAGTAGATCAGTAGGATATTAATACTTCACCTTGAAGCTGATTGTTGCTCCTACAGACCCATATCAGTACTAAATATAGATTATAGAGTATTTGCGACAATACTGGCCAAGCGATTTAGAAAATATAATCCCTGAACTTATAGACACTGATCAGACAGGATTTGTAAAGAATAGACAAACTCATGGCAATGTACGACGGGCACTTCATCACATCAATCATATGAAAAACATAGAGTCAGTAGTTCGTAGCCTTGATACCGAAAAGGCTTTTGACTCTGTTAGATGGGAGTTTTCACATTCAGTTCTAAAACGTGTTGGTTTTAATACTCAGTTGATCAGCTGTCTGAGATCCTTGTATGACTCTCCTACAGCCAGGATAAAAGTGAATGGGGACCTGTCAGACTAATTTTCTCCTAAAAGAGGATGCAGACAGGGCTGCCCTCTTAGCCCAGCTCTGTTCGCATTGTTTATCGAACCTCTGGCACAGGCCATCCGAGAATGCGAGGAAGCTGCAGGTGTCACCATTTACAACGCACAGTATAAGGTGTGTCTTTATGCAGATGATGTTCTGGTGACCCTCACTAAACCCGATACTAGCCTACCTACACTATTATCTTTGCTTAATACATTTGGCTCATATTCTGGTTACAAATTAAACCTTCACAAAACTCAAATTCTTACTTTTAATTATAAACCAAACAAAAATATTATTAAACTCCTAAAGGGTAATTAGAATAAAAATGTAATTAAATATTTAGGGGTCCTAATGCCCAAAGAATTAACTGACATTTGTAAACTTAGCTATACCACCTTAACAGTTAACATTAAATCAGATCTGGACCGATGGCTGTTACTGCCAATGAATACGCATAACAGGATTGAACTAATAAAAATGAGGGTGTTACCTAAACTGGCATTGCCTTCTGAGGTGTCCTCCAAGCAATTCATTGAATGGAATAGAATGATTTCAAATTTTATCTGGGGAAAGCAGAAGCCAAGAATAAAATATGAGACGCTACAATTAACGAGAAAAGAAGGTGGCATGGCCCTCCCGTGTCTTGAAAACTATTATAAGGCTGCTCATCTTAGAGTACTGATAGCATGGTGTGATCCTACATGTGATGCCAGGTGAAAAGAAATAGATCAGGCTGAAGTTCATGGCCCTCTCCCAGCCATTCTTGTGGATAAACCATTATTGCGTTAAATTTTAAACAAAGTATCCAACTGCATAAAAACACCACTGAGCATCTGGCTTAGGGAACTCAGAGACAAAATGCTTGAAAAAGATGCAAAAATACTACGCTGGCTAGCATATGACACAGAATTCACCCCTGCAAGGATCGATAGTAGGTTCAAATATTTGTGCAATTCTGGCATTACCGCATATTGGACAATTGTCAGATGGTTACAACTTGGAGAGAGGGGATTTTTTTTAGATATCTTCAATTAAGACATCACTTCAATACAGATACTGTGTCCAAGGAGAGAAAGCCTTTAGTCCAAATCTTTATAGATGCGTGCAAAGGGAAACTGAAAAAAAAAACAAACCAACTAATCTCCATGACCTACTCAGTTCTACAAGCAGAAAGGAAAATGTCTACCAAGTACGTTAAACTTAGATGGGAGAAAGAAGCCTGAATAAATCTATCTGAAGAAGATTGGTCTAATATCTGTAAAACGAGAGCCACTACTTCAAGCTCCGACTCATGGAGAGAGTTCGCTTGGAAAAATACTCTGAGGTGTTTTATCACCCCTAACATTAAAGCACACCAATGTAAAAATCCTGAAAACTACGTGTTGGAGGAAATGTGGATATACTTCAGTAGGGCACTTCCACATTTTCTGGAAATGTCTTAAAGTCTCCCCCTACTGGACAGAAGTGGTTTGTAGAACCAAGCAGATAACTGGGCTACAGATTGGGGGGGAGCTTCAGTGTCATTTACTAACCAGTCTGAGGAAACAGGACAGATATCTGCCACAGGTATTACTGGTGGCCAGCAAAAACACTATAACACGTAAGTGGTTGAATGAGGATCTTCCAACTGTTTCGGACTGGACAGAAATAATACAGGGACTCTATCTTATGGAGCGACTAACCTCCTCACTGAGACTGTCCTCAGAAAAACGTGAACAATACTGGAAGAAATGGAAATGTTTTCTCACTGAGACATTACTCTAGAGCCTTATGGTATTTTTTATACGTTACCGCTGAGAATATGTATCTGAGTTGTACAAAATGTCTTAATTTGTAACACTGTGTACGTTCTACATAGATGGCCTAATCTCCTTCCTTCCTTTTTATTTGGTCGGTCCTCCTTTGTTGTTTTGTGTTCAAATGTTAATGTTTATAAAAATGAAAAATACTCAAAAAAACAAAGTCAAAATAAAAAAAAAACGTCACTTTGTGATTGTTCTGATTGTACCGAGCCACATTAATGAGATGGCATGTTGTCCTGATGCTGTATCGGTTCTTAACACCACATGCGTGCTTCCTTCTACAGGTCAGCTGTATCAGCGGCCATTTTGTCCTCCTCTCTCACTGGACGGACGTTGGCCCTCCCTCCTCCTGCCCGGCTGAGGTCTTTCTCTGGGATTGACCCCTCTAAACCATTTACACCTGAACCAAACCTCAGCACGGCACTTTACAGCGGGTAGCCACTCCACGTTATTGATGAAACAGCATTCCCACAAGCTTTCTCCAATAGAACAATAGTCAGAAGTGATGTAAAACTACATCTTCTAAATCTGGACCAGCAAATGTGAACAAACTGATTTAGTGGGACTATATCTGATACTATGGTTTAGCTGTAAGAATACGAAGCTTTGTTGTGCTTCCTACTTCCTCAGACGGAGATGGTCGGAGGATTTGGCTAGCCGGTCTCACCTGTCATCTCCCAATCACTCAGAGGGAGAGCTTGAAGCCAGGGGAGAGGATGTGGACAGTCAAGAAGATAAGGAGGAACACATTTATCAGACTTTGGTCAGACAGGAGAACCTGAGATTGTCGGGGGCCATCTGTGACCGCCCTGTAGAAGCAAAGGTAAGGAAGCACAGAAACATCCATCTTTATGTGAGCAGGGGTGTCATTTGTCAAACATTGTGTAGAATCCTTACTAAAACCGTACTTAAGCTCAGCAAAAAATAAGTACGCCAAGTAGGTTTGTGATCTATCAAACATGGAGTACGCACGGCTGCACGCAATCTCCGCTTCATAAATCAGAAACTATCTAGAATTTTTCTCAGCTGCATTTTAGTCACATCCCGTCCTCACCACGCCCACTTACTGCCATAGTCAATGCAAAGTGCCTTGTGGACCTCATGCATACATATAAGCCGGCTGTTGCAGCGCTCCCGCCAATGACGAAGGTGACCGTAGATCAAGGCAGATCAAGGAAGCTCAATTTCCCAGAAGCAGAAATTGAGGTACCTGTGGGTGAGGTGGAGAAATGAAAGGAAGTACTTTTGCAAAACAAATAAGAGAAAATCCACGGAGTGGCACAGCGTTGCTGAAGCCGTCAATGTTGTGAATTCTTCAGAGAGATCTGTGGCGGAGATTAAAAAAATGGTCCAATCAGGATTTGATCCCCAGACTCCCAGGTGAAAGTCACGCACGCTAACCAGTCACCCAAACAGAGATCTCCCCTGTTTAAGTAGCCAGGGCGCATGATCAATCGGGTCATAGTGACAGGACACACACTGTCACAGACGCATGACATTCTGTCTCAATCTGTCCCCCTGCTGATATTCTGCATTCCGTATTCTGCGCTTCAGGCTGTGTGTGTGTGTGTGTGTGTGTGTGTGTGCGAGAGCGTGTGTGTGTGTGCGTGCACGCGTGTGGGAGGTCTTGTTCTGTGTGAACACGAAGCAGTACAAGTGATAATGCTGCAGGATTTCATAATTTTATCCTTCTCAGCAGCAGCGCTGCAGGTGCTCTCCATGTCCAACATGTGCGTAAGCCAGGTCATTAGTCAATTTAAAGTTGAGCACATTTTTCCGCCAAGTTTTCTTTCATAAATCCCAAAGTTTGCGTGGAAAGTTGCTTACGCAGTTTTCCAACCCCTTTTTGTGCGTAAGTAGGCTTGATGAATGAGGCCCCTGATCTTTTATTGTTGTTATGATAGCAAAGACACAGGTCAGGGGTCTGCAGCAACAGCTGCATTCCCCAATCCACCAAAATTAAACTAGTAAGAACCACAAATGTTACACAACCCTTTGAAAACAGAGAATTAATCATTTTTGCTAAATATGTACCTAAGAGGATTAGGGCCACTCACAAAAATTCTCTGTTTTCCTCAACACTCTGTGATTAAAGTCAGGATTCAGATGCTTACCACTAGGCCACCAGCTCATTGGCCTAGTGGTAGAGTGTTTGCCCTGAGACTGGGAGATCAGGGTTCAATTCCTGGTCGGGTCATACCAAAGGCTTTGAAAAAATGGGACCCAATGGCTCCTTGCTTGGCTCTCAGCTTTAAAGGGTTGGATTTGGGGGTTAAAGCACCAAATGGTTCCCTAGCGTGGCTGTGTCTGCAGCTCACCACTCCCCCAGGGGATGGGTCAAATGCAGAGAACAAATTTCGCACACACATCAGTGTGTGTCACAACTAATAGGACTTTGACTTTTTTTCTGAAATTACAGTCAAAAATAGTTCATTTCTCTTCTGTAAATATCTACAATGAGAGACTTGTCCTCAGTTTTGAAAACCTCCACATTGTGAACATGATAATAGAAATGATTACATTTTCAGATTAAGGAACAGAAAAGTGATATTTTTTCTGTGGGGTTTTGACATTTGCAGAGAGTGATGTTGAAAAAAAAGATGATCTGAAATACCGTAAATCCTCTAATACAGGCCCGGGCCTGTATTTGACTCAAGCTCATCAAGCTCCAGGCCTTTATTGGAAGGAGGGCCAGTATTAGAGGCAGGCCTCTATTTCTTTTTGAGCAAAATGAACTAATGGTTCGTTGGAGGTTTTGACAATTAAAATTGCGCCCACATTTTCAAAGTTAAACACATTTCTTTTAACAACGGTAGTTTCTGCTTCAGCCCTCTCCCCCTGCGCAGCGGCCGCAAACTCACTGATGCGCTTGCAGCCTCTTGGAGTTCCTGCTGCTCTAAACATTAAAATAATTATTTCATTATCTGTTCCTCACTTCTGATTACCTTCAATGGTGTCTGTTTGTTGCAACCACCAGGTACAAAAACTAACTTGTTTTTATTTGACTATTTTTCTGTCCTGTCTGTTTATTATCTTCCTGCATCTCCTCTCGATCCTAAAGAAAAACTGCTGCCTGGGTTCATATATATTCACCTTATGAGTTACCTTTGAACTGCAGTTCTAAAAGATCTACCGACCGCAAAAACAGCGGAGCGCTTGCTGTTTGGCGGCCGTATCAGTGATCAGTGCGTCGGAGGACAAGGTGAAGCGCCCGCTCCACAGCATGCAGTGAAACGCATCAGGCGCAAATAAAAGACAGAAAACATTAAAGGAAATGAATCGACATGAACGATCGCGTGTCAGTACCTACGGTCTGGCACAGCACGTTGCCCCCCCCCCCCATGCGAAATATCAAGAAATTCTTGTTTTTTTTTCATCAATTTCATCATAAAATGCACTTTTTGTAATAAAACTAAAAAAACCAAGTAAAAAATTTTTTTCTTGAGTTTTACCCCCAAAAAGAGAATGTGATCATACGATAATTCAATAGGGAGCGTGGTTTCACAGACGCGGAAGTGATAGCGTCGGTGAAATGCCGGCTGCTCTAGGAAACCCCCGAGCGTTCGAGCGTCAACGAAGTGACACGGAAATGCCGGGCTTTCCAGAAGTAAGTAAGATAACTTACTATGAGCTGATAGTTCGTTGGATTGATCGGTAGGTTGGAAACTCTGATCATGAATCTGAAGAAACGATGACTGAGTGGTGAGCTGGAAAGGCGACTTCCGTTTATAGCCGCGGTTTGTGACGTAGGTGCGACGTGGAGGGAATCCCCGCGAGGGGCATGCTGGGAGTCCCTACTTCGCGGATTTTCATCTATCGCGGCCAGGTCTGGAACGCATCTACCGCGATAAACGAGGGATTACTGTAGTTCAGTGGTTCCCAAACTTATTTAGCCGCGCACCCCCTTCTATGTCCCGACCATGTCGACGCACCCCCCCCCCCCAGCCCCCACATCGGGGCATGGCTATATATATATATATATATGTCAGATGTCAAGCTAAACAGACAGGGTTAAAAAAAATTCCCCATCACTTTCATTTTTTAAATAGTAATTAATAAGCATTCAATACCATTACAATTTCCTTTGATTTCATTTTAAATAAATATTTAGAGTGCCCAGGTAGCACATAAACAATGCAATTAAACGGTTTTCTTAAAGTAGGAACGTTTAACCTGTGCGGCCAGAGCGCTCTCCTTCCTTCTGCTCTGCGTAAACCTGAGCTGATCACCTACTTGTGCGTAATCAAATGTCTATAGGGGAAAAGATATAGCCATGATGTTCACTTTTACCTCAGACCGACTTATTGCTGTTTTATGGTGTGGCTGAATCTGCGATCCGCTGTCATGCGGACTGGAATAACAAACGCTGCAGTAACATGAGATGTGGTCAGGTTCATGAGGAGTCACTGGCTGGAGCGGACCCGACTCATCCCAGAAGCTAATATCTTAATTTGACCTTGAATGAAAAATAACCTCTTAAAAGTTTTTATCACGGTGGAGGCAGCGTTCATTTCTGCCTTCAGTCTGACAGCGGGCCGGAGTTAAAGCAGCGTGTGCGCTTATTGAATCTGTGTGTGTGTGCGCGCACGCACGTGCGCGCGGCATAGCCGCTCAAGTCACCGCGTCTTGCGCTATTTAAACCAATGTTGTAAAATTCCTTCTGCCCAGCCCAGATGTGCTCACTTGTGCACCCGTGAGCCGTGGTTCCGCTGGAACGCGTCTGACCGCTGACAGACGCACTCTGAACTTCAGATCTTCAGCGCGCTGTCAATAGCCTGAATGTGAATCATTTCTTGATTTATTTTGTTACATCCACAATGTTCTGTGTGTGAGGTTTACAGTGTCAGAACACCTGCATGAGACAGGTGTTAATTACAATCTGCCAGAATGACTCACCACCTTCAGGTTCCTCCAACACCGTTAAAAATGATCAAATACGGAACATATCGGCGTGCGCAGGCCAGAGCGCTGAAGCTCAGCACATTGTTATTATGAAGCTAGGGCACATGCGGCGGACACGCGTGCGCAAAAATATACTTGTTTTCAATTACATTTATTGGGCCCACTTACTTTTTCTTTGGCCCACCCACAAATGAGTTTCTACGCTAATGGTGACATATGACAGACTTCTCTGAGCTCCGCAGCCATTACACTTTTCACCTCGCGCACCCCCTAGCGGCAGCTCGCGCACCCCCAGGGGTGCGCGCACCACACTTTGGGAATCCCTGCTGTAGTTCATACACCCCCTACTGCTGCTCCCCAGAGTGTTCTGCAGCATAATCAGCACGTTCTCTTTGAACTTGATAGTGTAATGACCTGGCTGGGGTTGTAAGCCAGGTGCATTCTGGGTATTGTGTTATATGTGTTTCCTATCGTTCTGCTAGTTCCTATGTGCTGATTTGCGTGTTGTGTGAGTGTTATGTAAGCCACAGGGAAGGTGATGTGTGTTCTGTGGAGCGGGTTGAATTAGCATGGTTAACTGACACCCTGACTCTGTGTGGTAGGAGCGTGATGGAGGATCGTGTCTGTAGCGTTACAAAGCGTTGAAGAAAAAGCTCAAAAAAGGTCTGCGTGAACCTCTACTGCCTCCTGCTGGTTGATTTGGGGACTATAACCCTGCCGCTGGGACGCTCATACTTGCTTGTTACCACATTCCATCTGGCCACAATAAGAGACCGGCCATTATTTACCTCCGCTGACTCCGACACCGGCCAAAATTGGAGACCCGGCCTTTAATTGAATACCGGCCTGTATTAGAGGATTTACGGTATTACAGGTGCATTTCTGTTATGGAAACTCGGTGCAGTTATATTATAAAAACTGAAAAGCTGCTTAAACGTGCATTTTTAAATTTCATACCTGTAAACATCAATTAGCATTTCATTTCTAGCTAAAGTTATAAAGAGCAATGGTGGCTCCAGAGCTGCAAGGCCCAGACGGAGCTTTAGGTCTACAGCTCTGGCCCTTTTACATGTAACGGTTACCGTGGCAGCAGCGGAGAGTCCTCCACTCTGTGGGTATTTACATATCAGACAAGATCTTGCAGCAAAACGGCTAAAACTCGTGTCATGGCTGTGATTTATGTTAGTCTGTGGCCAGGTGGTCGGTAACCCTGATGAAAGTGTTCTTACTGAGCTGAGCTGCCCCTAGTCAGCGTGATCCGTTCAGAGGAGTTTCCTCTCCAGACCTTACTGATTCCATCCCTAGAGTCTACTCTCACTGACTCTTGGAGGATTGTTTATTACCTTTACCTGGCCATCCCATAATAGTCCCACCGTCTCTGTTTCCTTTGTGAATGAGATTTCCAGGCTGTCACACAGTTTTGCTGCTGCCTTCCAGAGACACATAAGAGACTTATAATTCTGAGCCTTTACAGACTCGGTCTTTGATTAACCCTAACAAACAAAAGGATGTGACGAATAACATGTAATTAATACAGTAAAGCTGTCCAGAGTTCAGGGTTATTCACTGTGTGTTTGAAAGGGGTCAGGAAGGTTGGTTCACGAACAGATTCAGTTGGCGTCCCCGGTCCTGTGTGGACTCGGGCTGCTCGAGGACACGCTGAGTGCTGGTACACATAGTAGTTTCCTCGTGGACATGAAGAGAAGCTGGAAGCTGTCTAGATGTGACTTTGTTGTGCCATTACTAAACAAGTCCCTTCCTCATGTCCACCTCATCAACCCTAACTAGCAAACCTGCAGCTCACACACTAGCTGCTCGTCACACGCAGTCGGAGGTCTGGATCTGTTTTCCACAACCACCTGTGGTCTGACTGGCTCTGCTTTCTCCTCCAGTCCAGTACGCCTCCGGCCCCTCAGATGTCTGGTAGACCAGAGCCATCCTCAGGTACTGAGCTTAGTGATCTCTGTGTGTGTGTGTGTGTGTGTGTGTGTGTGTGTGTGTACACTTTAGTTTAAATGACACAGAAGGTCAAACTAAGCTTTATGATGTATTCTGGAGAAAAATCCTGCCCATGAAATTGTTGGACTGTTTGTGATTTTGTTTAAAAAAACACACAAAAACTTTTATTTGCTTGGAGAACTTCTTGATTTCTGCCTTCAGACTTGTCCTTGTCCAGATTCAGGGGAAGCTGAAGAACAGATTTTGTTCTCTAATTTATAAAATGAGTGAAGACAGACGTCACAGCTCCCATCCAGTTTAATTTGGGTTGTTAGGTAAACTTTGGTCATTGGAGCTAAGTAGAAAACCCCGTTATAGCTGCTGTCACCTGCTCTGATGATGAAATGTTTTATTTCTGCTCACACTGATCTGGTGGAGAACCTGGCAGCACATTCATGCTATGTAAAATAAAGCAGTCTATGTAGCACAAGGAGCAGAATCAAGCTCTTCACTTGCATCGTTGCTCTGGTTTCAGTGGGTCTGACAGTTTCTACAGAAGGGATGAACACATCTGTCGGACAGAGCCCTGAAAACTGGAGGAGCCAGGAGCCATGTGGGTGTGAGTATGCAAACATCTGACCTACTGACACCAGTTATTGCCCCCGTTGGAAGATGAGATTGTACGGCGCCAATCCCTCTACATGTTCACTGAGCACGTGAGATCTTGTGTGGGATTATTTTGCTGATCAAGTTTTGACCAAAGCAGCTCTAACTGATGATGCTGGTTTACAACTGACTCCCGTGCATGCCTATACGTACTTTTACGCAACTCCGTGTGTTAAACCACTAACTCATCATGGTGTTGCCACATTTATCTGATCTCTTTAATTCATGCTCTCGTTTCAGCCTTCCCGCCTGTCCCAGCCGCTGACCTTCCCAGGTACACGGCATCAGATCTCAACCAATTATACAGCCAGGTGCATAGGGAGAAGAACACAGGGATGGTGGACAAACAAACACTGCAGGAAAAGAGACCACAGCGCCTGGAGCAGGAGGCTATTGAGAACAGAGCCTCTCCTGACCCAAAGCCTTCTGCAGGTAGACGCTGCTCGGGCAGATCTGGTCTCACAGGAGGACAGCGTCTCTCCAGCAAGAAAATGCTTTAGCATTATTTTGTTTCTGGAAACTTCTTTTGAGCCTGCTGTGCTGTGATTGCAGGCAGTCTGGCAGAGCTCCAGAGTTTAAGGCAACACGCCCAGGAGCTGGTGGACAAAAACGATGCCCTGAAGTTGTTGGTTCACCGTCTGAGTGTGGAGCTGAGCCGCTACCAAGCTCGCTTTAGGCCATTGTCCGAACAGGAGGTACAGCAACTTAACCGGAGTCACTCTTCAGCTGAGGGAAAGAGGCAGCACCCGTCTCACTCCATCAAACTGTCAGTAATTCTTGTCTCGCCCAAGTGTTAATCACCTTTCGTGTAGTAGTTCAGCGCATCCCTTTGTAATCCAGCCTTTGAGAAGAGCAGCTTCGATCAACACCCCTGCTCAGAAAAGTAAAGGTTTTGGTTTGTCCCTCCTGTTTGAGTTCCTGATGTAGCGTTGTTAATCTACATACTAGGATTTCATGCTGTTTGCTATCAGCTTTGTTAGATCCTGAGAAAGATAACCAATTAGCATATGAAGCTTATATCATGTATCCAGGATATTTATATAATCGATAGAAGTTCATACACCAACCGGCTTGGTCTATATTTAATCCAAAGATTAATATTTAAGAGGTTTATATTTATAGCAAACGTTATTTATTGAATCAGAAAAATTAATGGAATCTTTGCTTGTTCAATAATCAAATATACACCATTCTGTGTTTCATTTCAAAGAAGAGTCAGGTTTAAAAAGTTAAGAATTTATTACTAACAATTTAAAAATGACAATTTAAAAATGACAATTCATAACAGCTTTGATATTAAAACTTGGTATTAAAAGCAACCTGTGTCTGGGTGGAAACTAAGGTGGAATGCGTATGTTTGGCTGTGTGGATGGAAGAATCTCAGAAGATTTCTTTCAGAGAGAGAAACGCGTTCTGGGTGGAAAAGTTGTTCTGCAGCTAACTAAGTTGTTTCTAAAAGATAACAGCATACGGACGCCATCTGTGTCCTACCTCACCGATCAGACGACCCTCTGTGTGGATCCGGAGGTCTGGAGGATGTTGTCAGCCTCTGGGTACTCGGTCCGGTAGAGAAGACCCGAGTGAAACCGACTCTCTGGTCCAAGAGTTGCCGTGGGCACACAGGTGTTGAGTTTGCGTCTTAACTTAACTCTGAAGGAGTTTGCGTCAGCTGGTTGCAGGTGGCGTTTATTCGGAGCAATTCTATCGGCGTGACAGAACAGCTTAGGTGGAGGCTTTTGGGCGGTCGACCCTTATCCTCATGGACTCTCGTCACCACGGAGAGTATCTGCTTG